TTAGGGTCACATAACAATGTATGTATAAATTTTTGTATGAGAGACTAACTTGAATTGTAAACTTTCACTTAAAGTACAACAACAACAACAAAAAGATTTATAGCCTTGGAAACCCAATGGGGCAGTTCTACTTTGTCCTATAGGGTCTCTATGAGCTGGAATCAACTCATCAGCAGTGGGTTTGGTTGGGTACAAATATTTATGATTATATACTAAGACTATTCAGAAAGCAGCTATAAAATTTGATTGTAGATTATATGAAGTCATTGTAAATTTGCATTTGAGAGAGAATTCTACTTACCATGATTTTTATGTCTCTTCAACAGATTTTTATTCTGAATTCCTCTTATTCTTATTTGACTTTGATTCTTCTTTTTTTCTAAGAGATTTTTTCTTTCATTGATTATCTTACTCAATTTTCTTTGTTCCAATATATGTGATAAAAGTTGTTTGATTTCATTCACTGATACCTACAAGGAAAAATATTTTTGCTCATTTTGCTCATATGTAACTTTTAAAAATAAACAACAGGAAAGTAAACTCTATTCATGGCAAAAACACTAATTTAATGCAATTAATTAACTACGTACTGCTTTTTTCAAATCAAAATGACAGATGATCTATTTTTCTTTAAGAACCCATATTTTTTATGAAATAGAAACTATTTAAACATATTACATTGTCATCTTGACTGCAGAGCCAAGCATTAAAATCTAAATGTTATAAATAAAATAGTAGGGGAATTTAACAATTTACTCTCCCACTGATAAGTTGTCATGGTAATATAAATTGTGTGAGCTAAAAGAAAAAAAACGAAGATGTTGGTATTGCTTTATAACAAATTTATAATGGGTGAAAACTATAGAAAATTTTGTGGCTGGCTAAAAAGAAAATGTAGAAAAATCCTTTCCCAAAGTACTTTTCAGAAGTCATATAATTAATGTATTTTAATTAGGGTGAGGGGTTTAGGGATTGTTTTTGAGCAGCAGAAAATAATGCAGATATTAAAAAAGATAATTAAAAGCTTTAGAAAGGTAAATATTCATGATTTATATATGTACATACACTTTTTCAGGGTAAAATTATATTGGAAGATTAAAAATTTCCTTTGTCAATTATTACTTCCAAGGCAAGTCAGAGGTTTTTGTTGTTTGCCCGTTTTTTTCAGTATCTCAACTTAAACTCTTTCTTTCCAAGGTCACTTTCCAGAATGCATAAAGCCTTCCTAGAATTAAAACAAAAAAAAAACCCACTTGCTGTACAAGCAATTCTGACTCATGGCAACCACATGTGTTGCAGAGCAGAACTGCTTCATAGGATTTTCAAGGCTGTGACCTTTTGGAAGCAGATTGCCAGGCCTTTCTTCCAAAGCACCTCTGGGTGGCTTTGGGACACCAAAAATACTTATCCATTCACCTATCACTTGACAAATGTACTGAATGCTTACTACTAGGGATACAGTTATGAACAAAACAGACAAAGTCCCTGCCCTCAAGGAGCTTACAAACAAATGATATAATGCGGGGTCAGGGCTATAAAAGCACAGAGCAAGTTAAGGGTACAGAGTAAGAGGAACGCAGTTTTAGAGATGAGGTGGGAGAAGGATTTTCTGAGGAAGTAATGTTTGAGCAGACACTTGAATGAAGTAAGGGAAAGAGACACACGAAGATCTAAGTCAGGGATGGGCAACTATGGTCCGCAGGTTAAATCCAGCCTGCAGCCTGTTTTGGTGAATAAAATTTTATGGGACACAGCTACACCCATTTCTTTACATATTGTTGATGCATGCTTTTGTGCTATAATGGCTGAGTCAGAGACCCTATGGCCACAAAGCCAAAAATTTTTACTATCTGGCCCATTACAAAAAAAATTTGCTGAGTCCTGCTATATAGAAAGAACTTTCCAAGCAGATGAATAGGAAGTGCAAAAACAGAGTAATGGGTATGTTCTACTTCTTCTTCGTTTTGAACATTTTATTGTGCTTCAGGTAAATGTTTACACAGCAAATTAGTTTTCCATTCAATAATTCATACAAAGATTGTTCTGTGACATTGGCTGCAATCCCCACAACATGTAAGTACTCTCCTCATTTCCACCCTGGGTTCCCTGTTTCCCTTTGTCCTGTTTCCCTGCCCCTGCCTGCCTTCTCATCTTTGCTTTTGGGTGAATGCTGCCCTTTTGGTCTCCTATAGTTGATTGTTCTATGGAGCACATCTTCATGGGTGTAATTATTTTATTGTCCAGTCTATTATTTGGCTCAAAGGTGGCCTCCGGGATTGGCTTCAGTTCCAAGTTTGAAGGGTGTCTTAGGGTAACAGTCTCAGGGGTACCTCCAGTCTCTATCAGGCCAGTAAGTCTGGTTTTTTTTTTATGAATTTGAATTTTGTTCTACATTTTTCACCCATTCTAACCAGAACTTCTATTGTGTTCCTGGTCAGAGCAGTCAGTAGTGTAACTGGGCACCACCTAGTTCTTCTGGTCTTGGGATAGAGAAGGCTGTAGTTCACGTGGGCCAATAGTCCTTTGGACTAATTGCTTCCTTGAGTCTTTGCTTTTTTACCCTCACCTTTGCTCCAGTTGGGAAGAGACAAATACTTGTATCTTAGATTGCTGCTCTCAAGCTTTTAAGACCCCAGATACTACTCACCAACTTAGGATACAGAACATTATCTTTATGAACTATGTTATGCAAAGTCCTTAGCCTTTAAGCCCAGGTGCTCAGTACTGCGAGGTATTTGGTTATGTCTAAGAAGTTTCCATAACTGTGCCCCCTTATGTGCAGTACATACAAATATGTATGTAGAAATATCCACAAACATACCTATTTATGCATGCCGGTGTGCTCCTGTACGATCTCCCACACCTATTCAGCATACGTATCTACCTATGCAACCATTCACAAATTATTGCTTGTTACTACTGTTGTTGCAGGATTGTATGTTATAGTATTTACCATAGTTGCCCTTTATTCTTGCATACCTCTCAGTGTCATCCTTTGCCTTGGTCACGTTGTGCTGACTGCCCCCACGTTGTGTATTGTCTTTCCTATCACCAGAATTAACACGTCTACTGTCTATTTAGTTATTCTCCCTCCTTTCCCCTCCCATCCCTGGTAACCATCAAAGAATGCTTCTTTCTGTGTGTAAACCTATTCTTCATTTTTCAGAGTAGTAGTCTTATGCAATATTTGTCCTTTTGTGATTGGCTTATTTTATTCAGCATAATGTCCTCCAGATTCATCCATGTTGTGAGATGTTTTCTGAATTCATCATTATTCTTTATCATTGCATAGTATTTCATTGATGCATGTACCACAATTTGTTTATCCACGCATTTGATGATAGACATTTAGGTTGTTTCCATCTTTTTGCTGTTGTGCATAATACTGCAGTGAACATGGGTGTGCATATGTCCATTCATGTCACAGCTCTTATTTCACTAGGATATATACTTAAAAGTGGGATTGCTGGACATATGGTATTTCTGTCTCTAGCTTTTTAAGGAAGCATCATAGCTTTGTCCATAGTGGTTGTACTATTTTACATCCCTACCAGCAGTGTATAAGAGTTCCAATCTCGCCGTATCCATGCCAGCATTTGTTTTCTGTTTTTTTAATCAGTGCCATTTCTTCATGTGTTTGCTAGCTGCCTGAATGCCTTCTTTGGTGAAGTTTCTGTTCATATTCTTTGCTCATTTTTTGATTGGATTGTTTATCTTTTTGTTGTTGAAGTGATGTTTTCTATATATTTTAGAGATTAGACCCTTGCTGGATATGTCACTGCCAAAAATTTTTCCCAGTCTGTAGGTTCACGTTTTACTCTTTTGGTGAAGTCTTTGATAAGCATAAGTATTTAATTTTCAGGAGTCCCCAGCTATGTAGTTTATTTTCTGCTGTTTGTGCACTCTTTGTTATGTTTGATAGTCTATTTATGCTGTAAATTAGGGCCCCTAGCTATGTCCCTATATTTTCCTCCATGAACTTTAAATTTTAGGATTAATATTTAGGTCTTCAATCTATTTTGGGTTAGTATTTGTGTATGCAGTGAGGTATGGATCCAGTTTTCATTTTTCTGCAAATGGATATCCAGTTTTGCCACACCACTTGTTAAAGATCCCTTCCCCATTTCATAGACTCTGATACTTTGTCTAAGATCAGCTGTCCATAGCTAGATGGATTTATTTCTGGATTCTTAATTCTGTTCCATTGGTCTATGTGTCTGTCGTTCTACTAGTACCAGGCTGTTTTGACTACCGTGGCTGTATAGTAGGTTCTGAGATAGGAAAGTGTGAACCTCCTACTCTCTTCTTCTTCTTCAATAATGCTTTATCTGTCTGGGTCCTCTTTCCTTCCCATATAGAGTTGGAGATTAGTTTTTCCATTTTTTTAAAGAATGTTGTTGGAATTTGGATCAGGATTGCATTATATCTATAGATTGCTTTAGGTAGTATTGACATTTTCACAATGTTCAGTCTTCCTATCCATGAGCACGGTATGGTTTTCCATTTATTTAGGTCCTTTCAGTTTCCCAAACATGAAATGAAATTGAGCAAACATGCAATCAAGATGCAATGATAATTACTGGTGATTGGAATGTGAAAGTTGGAAACAAAGAAGAAGGATCTGTAGTAGGAAAATATGCCCTCGATGACAGAAACGATGCTGGAGATCATATGATAGAATTTTGCAAGACCAATGACTTTTTCATTGCAAATACCTTTTTTCAACAACATAAACAGCAACTATACACGTGGACCGCACCAGATGGAATACGCAGGAATCAAATCGACTACATCTGAGGAAAGAGACTATGGAAAAGCTCAATATCATCAGTCACAGCAAGGCTGGGGACCGACTGTGGAACAGAACATCAATTGCTCGTATGTGAGTTTAAGTTAAAGCTGAAGAAAATTAAAACAAACCCACAAGAGCCAAAATACTACCCTGAGTATAACCAACCTGAATTTGGAGACCATGTCGAAAATAGATCCAATGCACTGAACACTAATGACCGAAAACCAGACTAGCTATGGGATGACATCAAGGACATCATACATGAAGAAAGCAAAGGGTCATTAAAATGACAGCAAAGAAAGAAATGACCAAAATGGATGTCAGAAGAGACTCTGAAAGTTCCTCTTGAATGTGGAGTAGCTAAGGCAAATGGAAGAAATGAGGAAGTAAAAATGCTGAAGAGAAGATTTTAAAGGGTGGCTCAAGAAGTCAAAGTAAAGTATGATACTGAAATGTGCAAAGCCCTGGAGTTAGAAAACCAAAAAGAGAGGAACATGCTTGGCATTTCTCAAGCTGAAAGAACTGAAGAAAAACTGCAAGCCTCAAGTTGCAATACTGAAGGATTCTATGGGCAAAATATTAATGACACAGGAAATATCAAAAAAAGATGGAAGGAATACACAGAGTCATTGTACCAAAAAGAATTGCTCCATGTTCAACCATTTCAGGAGGTAACAT